TTAGAACCAATGCTGATGTCTTCCTGTCATTATACACAGATTCAGTGACGCGCTAAACAATAAATTCATCTCTAGAACGATTACATTAGTCATATCAAAGGCCATTGACAAAGTTTAGCATAGAGGGTTGCTGTACAAACTTTCCAGCTATGGAATTAGTGAAAAAAATTGTCTCTATTATAAAGACATTCCTAAAAAGTAGATCCATAATGACATCTGAAGCCCATGTAGTCGATGGAGGCTTTCCCCAGGACACCCGACTCGGTCTCATCCTCTTTCTGCTTTATTAACGATTTTCCGAAGAAAATACTCAGATCTCCATTAAATATATATATATGCAGATGGTACAACAGTATATTGGTGCACGTCCAAAAATCTAAATGACCAGAAGTTGACAGCTGGTATCTCCTCTGATCTAACTCAGGGAAATACTAACATAACACCCGATAACTCCAAGACTAAGCCAGTAACGTTTAATCATTAGCAAACAGATCCTGAACGTTCAGTTACCACGATGAGTGTTTATCTCAAGGAAGATCATTGTCTTGAATATCTACTGAGAATCACCCCAAACTTCAAATGGACATTGCACTTACCAACATTAAGACAGCAAGTATGAGAAAGGGTAGATAACTACTGAGCCCAACCAAGAAACCTTTTCCTATGTTTGATCATCCAGTCTGATTTCGGAAAGATGATCGGGCCGAGAACTTTTCCGTACCCACTTCAAAGACAAATAACAAAGAATGCGTGTTTCGGTATCAGATTGGAGGAATTGTCCTTCAGCGATCATGTTTCGGTACGCCGCATACTCCTGACCGTAATACAGTAATTACATCCAAACCTATGTTATGTACTGGACTAACAACATACAAATGGAACCTAACCCTAATAGCGTATGAGAGCTTCCAAGGGAACAATATTCATCATACTAAACTCAACCAGTTTTACTGTTTTCGACATCATGGTATGCGATCTTTGCGAGTAACAACCTTTATGGATAGACATTGAGAATGATGTCTGCAATCGGCCTAAAATAATATTACGTGGACATCACAATGGTCGACAATGTTGTTTGCTGATGATTACAGAATCACTGTATGAAAACGATTGTCATCAATAAGTATGGTGACACAGAGGTGAGAGTTATGTCATTATGAAAATGATCGCAAACAGTAGCTTTGGAAGTAACTTCCTTCGGAGGAGAAAGTAACACCAAGAAAAGTGAACCTGGTCATTATTGATGGAACCTTCACTGAATAGTATTAGATGCGGTATATTAATGATCCCATTAAAATTCTACCAGGCGCTATTCTAGTGGCGCTACTGTGGTCGATGATAATGCAACTCCTCAAAGTGATTACATCGTTACCGCATGTCTCCAGTATCTACCTTCAGTATCCCTCACATGAAATGGCCAGTCAATTCACAAGATCTCAATCCAGATGAACTTTTACGAAATCAAAATGATCTTTATATGCTTATTCACATCATAACCTCTGAGGTATGAAATGCAAATCCAAAATGAATTATACTGCAACTAGGGAGACCTATAAAGCATAAATGTCAAGGAAGTGATCTATTGCCAAAGTTGGAAGCACGCTTTTCTGTTGCTGCGCTTAGAAATGTTACCTTAATCCATTAAAACAACCATAAATAAAGAGGATCACTCAATAGTGAGCCCTTTTGGCATTCATATTACGCAGTAGAATTTACATACGAGTGAAAAATAAACAACTAATATATCACTAATAATATCACAATAATTACTATGTATCTCCTGAAGCAAATCTCGTTCTTGTTGGCACACCATACTATTCACGGGTGTTTTGGTCCAAACAAGGTACTGTCAAAGTTGCGGTCTAGTTCCAGAAATACGAATGCATACACACGGTCGAAATACACACATTTAAATCAGCACCGTCACAAAAACTTCCCGCGTAAAAAATTATTTATCGAGAGATTGAGAGAGAGTAGGGATACTGGAACTGGTTTAACAAGAGAGACAGTGAGAAAGAGAGAGGGAGTAAGCACACGGGGATTGATTTAACAAGAGAAACAGAGATACGGGGACTGGTGCAACAAATGATTGACAGAGAAAGAGAAAGAATAGGGATATGGGGATTGGTTTAACAAGAAAGAAAGAAAGAAAGAAAAAAGAAAGAAAGAGAGATTGTAGGGATACGGGTATTGGTTTAACAAGAGAGAGAAAAAAAGAGAGAGAGAATAAGCATACGTGAGCTGGTTTAACCAGAGAAACAGGGAGAGCTGGGATACGGGGATTGGTTTAACAAGAGAGAGAGAGAGAGGGAGAGAAACAGAGAGATAGTAGAGATACGGGTACTGGTTTAACAAGAACGACAGAGACAGGGAGAGAGAGAGAGAGAGAGTAGGGATACGGGAACTGGTGCAATAAAAGACTGAGAGAGAATGCGAGAGAGAGTATGGATACGGGAATTGATTTAACGAGAGGTGGGGGAGAGAAAAAGAAAGAAAAAAGAGTGGTGTAGTGGGGATACGGGTACTGGTTTAAAGAGATTAAAAGAGAAATATATATATATATATATATATATATATATATAATAAAAAGGCTTAAACACTAATATTCCATGGTTATAATTTATTCCATTGGAATCGTAAATACGATCCAATTCATCAGACCTATGGGAAGAGAGAGAGAAGTAGAGAAAGAGAATAGGAATACAGGGACTCGTTTAACAAGACATTGAGAGAGAAAGAGAGAGAGAGAGAGAGTGTAAGGATACGGGGACTGGTTTAACAAGAGATTGAGAGAGGGAGAAAGAGAGAGTAGGAATATAGGAACTGGATTAACAAGAGAATGAAAGAAAAAGAGAATGAGTGTATGTAGCGATACGGGGACAGGTTTAACAAGAAAATAAAAGAAAGAGAAAGAGAGAAAAAGAGAGTAGGGATGCGTGGACTGGTATAGCAATTGATTAAGAGAGAAAAATATAGAATGAGAGACTGTAGGGATACGGGGACTGGTTTAACAAGAGGTTGAGGGAGAGAGAGGAGAGAGAGAAAGAGAGAGAGTAGGAATACGAGAACTGGTTTAATAAGAGTGTGAAAGAAAAAGAAAGAGAGAGTAGGGATGCGAGGAATGATTTAACAATAGATTGAGAGAGAGAAGGAGATAAAAAGTAGAGAGAGTACGGGGACTGGTTTAACAAGAGAGAGAGAGAATGAAAGTGAGTGGGAAAACTGGGATTGGTCTAACAAGAGAATGAAAAAAAAAGAAAGAGAAATAAGGAGAGTAGGGATACGAGGACTGGTTTAAGAAGAAATTGGGGGAGAGTAAGGAATACAAGGAATGATTTTCACAGTTTCTAGAAATGAAGCTATTCTAGCTGAACAGGTAATCCAAGTGTCGGAAGTCCCAGTCCACTGAATGTAAAAATGTAACTGATAAGTATAGCGTGGTTGAGAATAATGCGCGGTCAGAAATCAATTCAAAAACACAAAACGAGCTGCTAGACCACGCAGGTTTTGCCTGTGTTAAATATCGAATGGCCTCTCATAAGCAGAGAAAACAAAATGGAGTTGGTAGATGTAAATTAATACTGGTGCGCAAGCGCGCTAACAAGTTGTAAACAGGAAAAAATTCCAGTGATAGCATCAACATTAGTTTTATTTGTATTTTTATGGTTTTCTTTCTCACCCTCGACTAAAGCAACGGCCCATTTATTCCTTTGTGGTTCGAACTCTTCAACACTGGAGACGAAATTTGATCATTATGCACTGAAATTTGTCGGTCAGGGTTTCAACAGTATATCGTTCTATACATTGTTAGAATCAACCTGTTTTCCAACATTTCTTAAAGATTTTATACACAACAGCGAAAAACTTCTACATTAATTTCGGTGGTTTTGTTGCTGATATTATTTATAGATGTCTATGGATCTAACAGGCTGTTAACATCTGTTGATTATGTATCTCTCTTGTTCATTTCAATTTTAGCATATATATATATATATATATATATATATATATATATATATATATATATATATATATATATATATATATATATATACGAATCCGGTAAATTGCTCGTAATCAATTGCCCGACAGTAAATTGCTCGAAATTAATTGTTCGAAAAATAATTTCTCGAACTATTAATTGCTCGAAACCTGTGGTTAAAAAATAAAATAAAATTACATTGTTTCTAATATTTACTATAAGATAAAATAATAAAACTTTATTGTTGTTAACTGAATAGTTAAAATTAAAGTGGTTAAAAAAATAAAACACATGCTAATCATTTCCTTTTTTTTTTGCACATTTCATATTTCCAGTAAATCTTATTGTTCACTGTTTTGTCCTTAATATATAGATATCCATTCAAACACAACTTTTTCTTTTCTTTTTCGTTCTCAACAAAAGTTATGTCCATCACTAGGGTTACAGATAGAAAACAAATATAGAAAACAATATAGGACTGCTAAAGTTGAGTGTTATGGCTACTTTTATATCTAGCTCCGTTGATGTGACGTGAGACAGAGCAGTTTACGTGGTACTTCGAGTTCCGAAATTACATCGAGCAATCTCCCATTCGAGCAACTGATAGTTCAAGAAATTATTTTTCGAGCAATTGATTTCGAGTAATTTTTAACTAGATCCATATATATATATATATATATATATATATATATATATATATATATATATATATATATAAAGAAATATACTCTTCAAAGTGTACTATATTTATGGGATAAAAGTGCTCAAAATCAGAGATAGAGCGTGTGAGAGCGAGTTTAAATATAAAAGTGAACATTGAAGTCAACACTTAGATGCGACAGGTTGTTTCATGCAAGACGAAATCGTCAGGCCAAGGAATCATCAAGTGGCCTGACGATTGCGTCTAGCATGAAACAGCCTGTCGCCTCTAAATGTTTTTACATTAAGCTGTTTCGTCGACTGTAGAAATTCGAATGGACTTAAACTTATATTTCACCCCCACCCCCAATTTTAAGACACGGATATTTTAGATGGTAATCGTAATGGTAATTTTAGCCGTTTACTTATAAGGAAACATTATTCATCGGACAAATAGAGCTAGTGTCGGATAAAATTCATAAAATCTTTCTATTAAAAATGTTTTTCAGGAAAGTAGATTTCTCAAGTCCAGTAACTGTTATCGCTCTTTCCAGTATTGATGGGGGTTTCCTTCCTAATCTTTTGTTCGATATAGTGTGAAATGTCAACATTTTGATTATGTAATTATTTTCTCTTCGAGGTACATTTTAGTTGTTTACGCTTCTGGAAGTCCTTAAGTGGTGGTGCTTTCTGTTATTTGGTATATTTCTTTCTGATTCTGTAACATCAGTTCACAAGATTCAGAGAAGGATGTTTTTCTCTTAGACCTATAAAATTCATTTGTTAGTAGCCATTTTTAATCAGTTATCTGAGAAAGTGGTTGTGTACGGTTGACAATTTGGACATTAGATGAAAAAAAAGAAATGCATTTCATTTAAACGAAAAGAATCAGCAGAAAATATATAACAACAAAGCAATTACAAAATAAAGACGAAGAGATGACAAAGTTGTTTTTTTCTTCTCTTCGTTGCTTTTATTCTATAATTTCCTTGCATAATACGTTCTATTCTTTGTAAAACATAAAACTATGTCTTTCCTGTTTATGAACTGCAATTGAAATATGTTGGATCATAGAAAAAGATTTCCTTAATATTCCTTTCACGTTTATTGCTTTTTCAACATTTTTTTTATTACTAACCCACTTTATATATCACTAAAAAAAACTTTGATGTCATCACATTTAATATTTCACGTCGTTGTATAAATATTTTCCGTCGTTTTTCAGTTCACTTTTCAAAATTACAGTTATGGCGTCGAATTCACTTTTATTGTGTAAAAGTATACAAAAAAGTCAGTTTCACTGGCCGTTTTTAATCATTTTGACAGTTTGTAGAACGCCTGTTATTGGCCAGTTTTTCTTATCAGTTTTGTCGGCTTGAAAGCAACATAAGCCTTGAGGCTGATATATCGTCATAGAGTCAGACGTGAACACACAATTGAAACACAGGAACTGAAAATGAGGAGCGGTTACAATAGTTTTCAGAGGGTTTATTTCATATCAAAGAAATTCATTAGTTGATGTTGAAATGACGGATTTGAAGCATTCTTTTATCCTCTCAATTAATCGATTCAAACTAGCGTCGTTGTTTGGTTTCATAGTCACAACGTTTCGACAATTGTATTCCACTGACTTCATTAAATACTTGTTGTTTGATGCTCGTATCTTTGCAAGTGTCCAATACTTTGTTTCATATGCTTTGAGAATACAAAGGTCATTTAGAGAATTTATCACTTTTGATAAAGCTTTCTTTGAAACGCATTGACGGGCGATATTGCGAATTTATTCCTTCCGATAAGATCTTCTTTAGAATAGTTAGAGAATATGGTGCGTATGAGATAAGTGGTTATGAAACTTGTCGACATTCCAGAGCCGAACACCCGTCAAAGAAAGTTCGCCAAGTCACTCAGTAAGATGTGGTTGAATAAATGAATTTATAAGAATAGCTAAAACGAGCAAATTGAACCAACAATGTTTCTGCAACTCAATAATAAAACAGATAAAATAGAATAAAATTAAAAACTAAAATTGTACGAGAATATTTTCTAACATTTCAACTGAATCTTCAGAGTTGGTCGCTGGATGAAAAGTAATGGTTAACGAGCCAATCTTACTATACCGCACTTAATATTGAAGGCTAATTCCTCACAGAGACCTTCAGTATGTGGTTTTATATAAGAGATAGGAAAATGAATGCCTAGGAACGAATAGCTTTGTTCACCGAGACAGACTTAGTGCAATAATAAAAAGTCTTTTTTATTATAATCAATTTGGTCTAAAATGAATGATACAACAAATGCTACGAGTCTCTTTTTTATGTAGCTCTGTGTCAAACAAAGCTGAATATATAGACGTACGTGCCGTAGATCCATAATTAGCAAGCCGTATCATTAACCCTTGCGTACTTAATGAGGTTACTTCTCTTATAGCCTTATGCCAGAAGAAATTAAACTTATTAAATATCTAACAATGTCTCCAAAAGTACAAACAAACTAGGATTGAATATATCAATGCAGTCATTATCTGCGAATTCACAAGTATCGGTGCGGAAAACAGAATTGATGTGGCTATCATGACTCTCCACAACTTCCTGTCTTTGATAATTCTTAGTAAGGTTTGTCTCTTCGTTATCTCGGCCAATCCCTGTTCTGGTATCCATTTACTCAAGCTCGTTACGTAGATTACTTGCTGTTTTTCTCTGTCCCTCTTACTTTCAGGATGTCATGTGTGTGTCAGATTCTCCAACCCTCTATCGTTATTATGTGTCTTAAACATGTTAACTGTCTCTTTCCGATTCTATCTCTTACTGATATAAGCATCCTTTTGTTTCTATTTTCTTTAAAACATCCGCGTTACAAACATGACACAGCCCATAGTATTC